ATTTAAAACTTATGATGGGCGATCTGATCCCAAAGCTCACCTTAGGCAATACAAGCAAATGACGTCCCTATATCATTCGGACCAACGGCTCCTCTACCGAGTGTTCTCTATGACTTTGGAAGATTCCGCGATGAAGTGGTTCAAGACTCTTCCTCCCAACAGCATTGGGTCATGAAAGGAGTTGGCGAGACAGTTTTTAGCCCAATTCATCACGCGGAGCAAGCGGCCCAAAGACATTGGGTCATTATTGACGCTCAAGCGGAGGAGACAAGAAACCTTTCGCCAGTACACCACTTAATACTGGGAGGAGATCAATGATGTAGAGGTGTGTTCGGAAGTCATGGCAGTCGCTTCCTTTAGGCTCGGCCTGGCAAAGGACACGAACCTGTATCGATCCCTGACTAAGAAGACTCTCGTAGATATGGGAGAATTGATGGCCCGGATAAACAAATACTCCAAGATTGAAGACGAAATGGGGGGCAGCAAAGGTAAAACTCTCCCACCTATAAGAAAAGAGAAAGAAGCGGGGGACATCTCCCAAAAGGGTTGGTACCCCCTCCAGGGGGTCATTTAAAGGTGTTCACACTATCTTCAAAGAACCCATCTACAGGTTACTCCATAGAATCAAGCATGAGTCATTCTTCAAGTGGCCGCGTAGGATGCAGCGTGATCCTTCCACCCGTGATCAAAAGGTCAAATGTTCCTATCACTGGGATTTCGACCATCGCACCGAAAATTACAAGGTATACAAGTCTTTCTTGGAAGGGCTAGTCTGGGACGGTTACTTGAAAGAATACATCGAGTCGAAGACAGAAGAGAGGCGCGGTCCTGGATCGGTCGTGGAACAAGACAATGTCATAGACGTGATCCATGTATGTCCATTGGATCGCCCGACATCCAAGGAGCTTGAGTCCGACCTCAAAAGGGTGGCCTTTACAAGAAAGGTTGCCGAGAGCGAGGGGGGCTCGCTCAGCAAGAGAGCCAGGATCGACAAAATAGGTATCACCTTCTCCGACACGGACTTGGCGGGCGTGCTGACTCCCCATAACGACACCCTAATCATAACTCTGAAGATAGGCAAGTTCGACGTCAATAGGGTGTTGGTGGACTCCGGAAGTTCCTCCGAAGTGATGTACTCGGAGACTTTAAAGCGCATGGGCTTCGCCCTCAAGGACCTCACCAAGGTCAGGACGCCTCTCGTCGGATTTAACGACTCATTTGCCTTGCCCATAGGCAAAATCACATTGTCAGTCCTCACGGGTCCCTTCACCATCAACACCAAGTTTGTTGTGATCGATACGGACTCTCCCTACAATGTGATCATAGGGGCAAGCTTGGTTGCATGCGCTAGGAGCGGTGCACTCTACTTATCACTAGAAATTAAAATTTGTTACAGCATAAGGGATAATGGAGATCCGAGGGGACCAAGCGTCCGTGAAAAATTGTTTTTACTCGGCTGTGAGAGCGGGGGTTTCCACCCAAGAGAAAGGACGCACCCCGGAGGAAATCCTGGAAAAATAGCAATCACAGTCCGGGCGTCCGGGAGTGGACGACCCCCAGACTGACCCGACAGACCGATCAGTAGAAGACCTCCGAAAGGTGTTTTTAGTAAATAGTGAAGAGGAGAGATACTTCCTGATTGGAACCACAATGCCGGTTGCTGAATAGGAAGAGATGATTGACTTTTTGGGGCAGAACGCAAACGTATTCGCTTGAAACGCAATGAAAATGAAGGGGGTGGACCCCAAAATAATCATGCACAAGCTACACGTTGACCCGACACACAAACCGATAAAGTAGAAACCGCAACGCATGGCACCAGATCACGCCCGGGAGGTGAACGAGGAAGTCGATAAGCTCCTAGAGGCCAATACTATCTGGGAGGTGCAGTTCCCAAAATGGTTATCAAACACGGTCTGCGCCAAGAAAAAAGGAGAAAAATGGTGTGTCTGCGTAGATTTCACTGATTTGAACAAGGCGTGTCCCAAGGACAACTACCCCCTACCAAAGGTTGACCAGTTGGTGGATGCCACTGTTGGGTATCAGCGGATGAGCTTCCTGGATGCAAGGGAGGGATATCATCAAATCCTTCTCCATCTCCTAGATCAAGAAAAACGACATTCATCACTCTGAGGGGAGTTTACTGCTACAAAGTCATGCCATTTGGGCTGAAGAAAGTCGGAGCTACGTACCAGAGGTTGATGAATCGGATGTTCAAAAGACAGATCGACAACACCATGGAAGTCTCCATCGATGATATGTTGGTTAAAAGTAGAAGAAATTGTGACCACCTGATGGATTTGGCCGATACCTTCTCCACCCTTAGGGAGTATGAGCTGAAGCTAAACCCCTCAAAATGTGTTTTCGGAGTGGAGTCAGGTAAATTTCTCGGATATCTGCTGAGTCGGTAGGGAGTTGGAGCTAACTCGAATCAGATCCAAGCGATCCTGGATGTCCGGAACCCCCGGACGGTTCGAGAAATCCAGAAGCTCACAGGGATGTTGGCGGCACTCAATCGTTTTATCTCGCGCTCCTCGAACAAATGCAAACCCTTCTTTGGGGCCATCAAGGAGGTCGGGAAGGATACGTGGGGCCAGGAGTGTGAAGACGCCCTGGCAGGAATCAAGGAGCACCTCTAGGTTCTCCCGACCCTATCCATTCCTGTCCAAGGGAAAATGCTCTTCCTATACTTGTCCGTATCAGAATTGTCGTCAGTGGGGTACTCATTCGTGACCACGAGCACCACCAGAAGCCAGTTTATTACGTGAGCAAAGTGCTACTGGACGCGGAAACAAGATATCTATCCTTGGAGAAACTCGCTCTATCCCTAGTCACAACTGCAAGAAAACTGAGGCATTATTTCCAGGCACACCCGATTACTGTCATTTTGAGAAAGGCAGATCTCTCTAGAAGGATTTCCAAGTGGACAATGGAGTTGGGAGAGCATGACATCCACTTCAAACCTCGAACTGCTATAAAGGGGCAGGTATTGATAGATTTTATAACAGATTTTTTTGGGGGACCCCCCGTTCCGGAAGGACCGCCCACTTCGAGAACAGCGTCCTTGCGGGATGACAAGGGACCACCGTGGCTTCTATGCATAGACGGTTCCTCCAACAGTAAAGGGTCCAAAAATTGGTATCTTATTAGTCTCCCCAGATGGGGTGGTCGTCGAGCAGGCCGTTCGGCTGGAATTCAAAGCATCCAATAATGAAGTCGAGTACGAGGCTCTCATCTCAGGGTTTTGGTTAGCCGAGGCGACGGGGTTTCAGACCTAGTCGTCCACTGCGATTCCATGTTGGTAGTCAACCAAGTTAACGGAGAGTTCGAGACAAGGGACCTGAGGATGAAGGCTTACCGTCACGAGGCGACAATTGTGATTCAGATGTTCAGAAAGATTGAGACAAAGCAAGTATCTTGAGATAAGAACGCGCATGTTGACGCCCTGGCTTGCCTAGCCTCGGCACTGGATTCCTCTCTGCCGCGCAGGGTCACCATAGAATATCTTCCAACTTCCAGTATAGATAAAGCTCCCGAGGCGATGGTCGTCCAAGAAGAACACAGGCAGCCTAGCTGGACAATCCCTTTTCTCAGGTTCCTGGTAACTAGGGATCTCCCCGAGTGTTCGAAAGAAGCCAGGAAGATAAAACTCAAAGTCCCAAGATTTTGGGTCCCCCCAGATCAGAAGCTGTATCGAAAGTCGTTCTCAGGACTTTACCTACTATGCGTTCAGGAAGATAAGGTCGAAGACCTCCTCTACGAAGTCCACGAAGGAATATGTGGGGGGCACTCTGGGGGGCGATCCATGGCTTACCACATCATGTCTCAGGGATATTGGTGGCCGCGGATGTAGAGGGACGCACAAGCGTATGTCCAAAAATGCGACCAGTGTTAGAGATTTGCCTCGGCAATCAAGTGGCCTGCAGGAGACTTGCACCCGTTAACCAGCCCTTGGTCATTCGCCTGGTGGGGGCTAAACTTGGTTGGACCCCTGCCTAAGGCTCCTGGGAACAAAAGGTTCCTAATTGTAGCAACGGATTACTTCACCAAGTGGGTCGAGGCGGAGCCATTAACCCATATCCGCGACATAGATGCTAAAAAGTTTGTTTGGGGATACATAGTCATCAGATTTGGGCTTCCCCGAGCGCTTGTATTAGATAACAAGACTCAATTCACGGGCGGATGATTCAAATTCTTTTGCGAGCAATTCTGGATTCGTAATTTCTATTCTACTTCTGCATACCCCCAAATCAATGGGCAGGTAGAATCTTCCAACAAAACGATCGTCAACGGGATCAAGAAGAGATTAGAAAAAGCCAAGGGAAGATGGGCAGATGAACTGTTGAACATTCTGTGGGCATACAGGACCACCCCTCGGACCACGACAGGGGAGACCCCCTACTCCCTAGCTTACGGGATGGAGGCAATCATACCTCTGGAAGTGGGACTCCCCACCATAAGGACTCAAGCTTTCAACACAGGTGGCAATGACCAACAACTTGGCCTGGGTTTGGATTTGGCAGAGGAAAGAAGGGAAATGGCTACTCTGAGAATGGCCAAATATCAGGGAAAGGATTTCTAGACTTTATAACAAAAGAGTCAAGACCCGAGAATTTCAAGTCGGCGACTTGGTCCTCAAAAAGGTGACGGCCAATACCCGAGACCCAGCAGATGGGACCTAACTGGGAAGGACCTTACAAAGTGGTGTCAGCAGGGGGCTTCAGATCATATAGATTAGAAGATATGGAAGAAAAACCTATAATACGGCTTTTAAATGTGATAAATCTGAAGAAGTACTATTTTTGAGTATTCTTTCTCTCAGCACTGATTAATGGCAGTATTTTTCGTTGCCGGCAATTTCTCTCCGATTCGCATGGCTAATACTCATCTTACTCTGCAAACTCGATGGCAAGGCAAAGTACTACAAAGACGATTTGCTCTCAGACCTCTTCTTAGCGAACAACTTAAAGTACGTCGTTTCTAATGTCCGTACGTCAAACATGAATTGTTTACTCAGCGACGATTGTTTAACCAAGCACGAAACAAAAGTGAAACAGTTTGCACTGAACTACGAACGGATAGCATGGAGCTGCGTCATAGGTTCCTTCCCCGAGGATCCGACGACTGTAACGTCGCCGGAGGAAGTGAAGGAGTGTTTTAAGAGATTTAATTCGTTGTTTGATCAGGCGTACCAGAAGCAGTTTGTGTGCGTCGTACCTGATAGTAAGCTCTGGGACGAAATCAAAGTTTCCCTAGCCAGAAAGCTTGTTGGGGTGTATCGGTAGTTCTATAGTGCTCATAGGCTTGTGATTGGAAGAGAGAGAGATTTGGCACTTGAGGTCAGATATACCCCTGAGGCTGTGGGGAATTACTTGTCAGATTTGTTCTTTGGGAAGGCTTTGTCAGGGAGTCCTTCGTCATTTTCTATGTCAATCGTCACAGTTGCGGCCCCTTTGAGGATTTGTTTTTTTTTTGTCCGATCTTATTATGAAAAATACTATTTAAATCTAAAAATCCGGCAGAACAGGTGACCACCTGAAAAATGTAAAGATAGAGAAGATGACCTTTTGGCGAATCCCTAATCTCCCTGTTGAGGGTTTATACTTTATTTGTTTAATTTTTAAATAATGATTGGGATATTTCTAATGGAGGTATATATATGTTGTAATTAAATACTTTCAGAAAAAAATATATTTTGTTGTGGCTTTACCTGCTCATGTATTTGTTGTCATGAATATGATAATTTGCTTTGTCTCACATGTTTAGTTCAAAAGACACCCAAAAATTGAAGATAGTAATTGTCTAAGAGATGTTTGATAGCATTTGATTTTTCTTTTGTTTGTTTTGATTTTTTTTTTTTCAATTTTTTTAAAAAAAAAACACATGTAATAAAGATTTTGAAAAAATAAGTGACAAATATTCTTATTCTCATTTTTATCTGACCCACTTATAGAGTATGTGAAATTTCCATGTACAAAAATATGTTGTGATCGTTCACTATTACTTTCCAAACGAATCATTTGCCGCGAATTGATGTGGAATTTATTATATTCAAATGAATTTCCTATGTTACATGATGGATGATTGGATTAAAAAGAATCGAAAAGACGCCAAATCCGTTTGCGAATTATGGTAATAACATTTATTGATTAATTGGAACAAAAAATGTTAGCACTGTTAGAAGTAAGAATATGTTTTAAAAATATGATATTTCGGAATATAAACATTCTAATCAAAAATGAAACAGAGGGAAGAAGACAGAGAAGTTGGCGTTGAAGCTTACGAAAGAAAGTGAAATAATTGAGTAAAGAATTCAGGGAAAGTGGCGTCTGAGAATGTATTCATCATGCCTGATTTCATAGATGGAATATTTGATGATGATCTGATATATCTGTTGAGGAATTTTATGTTTTCACATATTGTTGGACATTTTTAGGTCATCTCTAACATATGCTTCAAATGAGTAAAATAGTTAAAATGTAGTTATTTTGGAGCCAAAATTCATCTCTAACGGATGCTGTTCATATTATGTAAAATATATTTTTGTTACGGTGACACTCTAAATATAGAATATCACTGTAACAATATGAAAATATTATATATATTATTTTCTCTCTCTTCCTCTCATTTCTTCCATTCTATCTCTTTCTCTCTTTCACTATTTCCAAAAAAAATAATACAAAATGAATGAGAAATAATATTTAAAAGGAGTAGTTAAAAATATAAAAAATCTGTTGGAGTATGTATTGAAAAAGTGAGTAGTTAAAATAGAAAATGTTAATTTTTTTAGTAGATAAAATGCATTTTGTTGTTGGAGATGCTATTACTTGCCCAAGAGTTCTGACTACTGAATTGTCACTATTTCACTGTCACAAATTAATAAACAAATTCTAATTACGAAGGCAACAAAATATGTTGAGTGACATTCAAGTAATGTTTATCAAAATTTTTATTAAATTTTTAATTTTAAGTGATGTCATATAATTTCTATCGTTGAATATCAATGAGACTCACTTATTTGATAGAAAAAACCGTGTCACATTGCTTAGAATGAAAAGGTTGATAAGAAATGTTGATCAACATAGCATTATTATTATTATTATTATTATTATTACTTTATCAAGACCAACATAGAATTGTTGAATGACATAATATAAGGGCTAATATTTTGAGTTACTTTGAACGTTACAATTTAGTCTTTGGTCAGTTAAGGGCCATCAGCTGGTGCTCAAGCAATGGCAGCCGAATTATCTCATCTCAGAGCTCAATTTTGACACCACTGATTTCTGGATTCAAGCAAATGGCTTACTGTCGAATATGATTACACCTGAGAATGCTCGTATAGTGAAAGCACTTGGGAAACCAATAGATGAAACCAGTTCCTTTGTTAAAAAGAATCCGTGGAGGAATTATTGGAGGATAAGAATAACGATTGATCTCGCAAAACCCCTATAAACACATTTCTGAATACCTCGTCCAGGACAACCTAATACAAGGATTTCCCTGAAGTATGAATGCCTTGGTGACTTTTGTTACAAATGTGGGTGTGTAGTGTTGAAATTTTTCCTATTTTGTATTGTCATTAATTGATAGTTAATTTTAATTTGTAAAAAATGGTCTGAATTTATGGTCCAATGAAATGAGTCCAATATTATTAAGTGATCTATTTTGATTAGTTTATGTACTTCTTTTTAATTGATGTGATTGAGACTTGTGGCCTGTAATGGGAGAGCCATTAGGCCTTAATCTAATTGTGGTCCGTAATGAGAGAGCCCATTAGATTTCATTATAAATAATAAGTTAGGTCTTCTTTCCACTTCATAACTCTAATTTGGCTTGTTCCATTGAGAGCCGCATATTGCTTTGAAGAAGGAGATGAAGATTTTGCTCTTTCACGAAAGAAATTCAAAGATCGAGTATCATGACTTATACATGTATGTTCTAAACCTATAGATCCAAATCTTGTATATGATTTAAATATTGAATTTAGAATCTAAATCTTGTAATTTAGGTGTTCTAAATTTTATATACGAATCATTAAAATTTCTTACATGTGGTATCAGAGTCTATCGTATATGAATTTAGAACCCAATTTATTTTATGATTATTATTTTGTTTTGAATAATTTGGGATATCAAAAAAAAAAAAAAAATTGTGACCGCAGTGACATCAAATTCTCAACAACAGTTGCCGTCCATGGTTTAAAAACCAAGAGAACAAAAAGACGTCAACTCTATTAGGAAAAGGTTACTGTTCTTTTATGGTTGTCAAAGCAATTTTTTGGTGGAGAACTTTCAAGCCGCCAATTGAAGAATTGATTGCCATCAAATTAATGATTGTTTAATCAAATTAGACTTTTAGATATTGACTTTTAATCTATATATAATTTGATTAAAATATTTGTAATATCAAATAAATTTTATATTACAACCCCTATAATATTGTTTTTTATGTTATAATGGTGTGATTGTTAGTTTATTGCTTGTGTCTTTTCTATTAAATAAATATTAATTATTCATGGATCATGTTGATGAATAGACACAAGTTTTACCTATACAAATTATTTTTTCATGTTGATGTAATTTTGATTGAATTGTTATAATTTATAAATGGTGTTTGTACAATTCTAATTTTAGTCTCTAGTGATTTATATAATAAATTTTTTTTATGATTTACATATTATTTATTAATGTTGGTAGATTTGAATTTAAATTACTTAATTTTAATAGTAAAAATAGAATTGAGACCTGAATACAACGATTGATGATAGGTGATCTAAAGAGATATATATTGATTAATATCTCATATTGATTGATCACATGATATTTAATTATGGGTAATTTATTATAATATCCCAGTTTGAAAAATTCTATGAGTTAAGATGGATGGTTGCCACCAAAGTGATTTATTCATTGAATTTATAGTTTTTGTCATGCTTTTGTTAGGGAATTGTCTCAAAATTATAATATATAATTACTTGTCCAAAGGGGTTTGTTGTGTATTGTAATTTGGAGATATCATGAAATATTGTGATATCAGTGCAATAGTGTAGAAGGTTTATTTGCACAAAGAGGAAATTTTTTTCAAAACTTGAGCATTCTCATTGGTTAGTTTCATGAAAGAGGAGACCTATAACATATTGTATTCTCTACTCAAAGGGGAGTTTGTAGTAATGTATTTGAACCCTCTTAATTAAATATAACTTATTATGTTAAAAGCTTATTTTATTTTATTTATTGCCCAATTTTGCTAATTGTTTATATTCTTGTTGTCTTGTATAGTTTCTTTTGCTGTGAATAGTAATAATGCCAACATTGAAGTCTTGATTGGTTCTAATTATAAAAGATGGAAACAAGATATTGAGTTTGTCCTGGAAATTGCTGATATAGACCTTGTCTTGAAAGAGAATGAACCTCCTAAAACCTAATAGTAAAAGTTTCCCTAAAGTAAAAGAATTTTATGCAAAGTGGAATAAATCTAATAGGCTGAGTATGATTGCCATGAAAATATCTATTTCTGAACACTTTATGAGTGACTTGCTTGAAACCAAGAATGTCAAAGAGTTCTTTACCTCTGTAGGAGAGAGATATAAGGTATCCAATAAAACAAAAACTGAGGGTCTACTGAATGAACTAATGAGTATGAAATATGACTATGTAGGTGGTGTTAAGGAATATACCCTTAGAATAGTCCATGTTCAAATCAAACTCAGAGTCTTCAAAATATTTATTCCTGACGATTTCATTTTCATTTCACTCTTAACTCTTTGCCTCCTAAATTTAGCCAAATGAAAATTGCATACAATAACCAAAATGAGTCATGGACAATAAATGACCTTTATCTCCAAGTGTGATTCTGAGGAAAAAAAAAAACTTAAAAAAAAAAAAAGAGTGTAATTGTCTTGTTTGTTTCTCATTTTAAATCTAGTTTTAACGGTGGGTACTAGAAAAATAATAGAAAAAACCTAATCATAATGCTTTAAAGAATGGTTGGAATTTCAAAAGGTATGGTACTGGTCAGATGTGGGAGGTCCTAAGGCTGTCATTCAAAAAGATGTCAAGTGTTATTTTTATAAGAAACAATGTTATAAGAAAAGTGAGTGCACTAGATTCAAGTCTTGATTAAAAAAGAAAAATAAAGAAGAAGGTAACTGACTAGCATTTGTTTGCTTTGAATCCAATTTGGTTAATGTCCCATTAAATTCTTGAATGATTGATAGTGGGGCTTCGGTTCATGTGATCATGACTTTAAAGGGATTCACAAGTAAACAGAGGTCAAGTAAAGGGAAGTCAAGCTTAAAGTAGGAAATAATAATGAAGTCTATGTTGAGTTAATAGAAATTGTTAGGTTGAATTTAGACACTGGTTTTCAACTTGTTTTAGAAAATACATTTTATATACCGTCATTTAGCAGAATTTGACTTCAATTTCCTTGTTTAATAAAATTGGATATTGTTTTAATTTTAGTAATGATAAAACTCAATTGTCTTTAAATTTTAAAATTATTGGTCATTGTGTTTTATCAGATGGTCTATATAGTATATACTTGGCTGTCAATAATAAATATGGTTTTCAAATATAATAAATGTTGTATCTAAGAGACCTCTCATTATAGAAAACTCTTCACAGTTGTGACATAAAAGTTTAGGTCACATTTTTAGAGAAAAATTGGAAATATTAATAAATAATGATATTCTTCCTCCCCTTGATTTTGAAGATCTTGAAACTTGTATTGACTACATTAGGGGTAAATTGACCAAAATTAAGAAGAAAAGTGCAACTCGCAGTCTAAATCTTTTAAAAATCATTCACACTGACATTAGTGGATCTTACTCACGTACCTTGTGTGGTAATAAATACTTTATTTCATTTATTGATGATTTTTCTCGTTGTAGATATATTTATTTAATTAATGAAAAATTGATCCTCTTGAAAAATTTTAAATTTTCAAGACTGAGGTAGAGAAACAATTAAGGAAAGTCATCAAAATTGTTAGGTCTAATTGTGGTGGTGAGTATTATGGCAAACATGACGTGTCTAGGTAATATTTGAGACTGTTTGTCAAGTATTTGCAAGATTATGAGATTGTTGTCCAATATACCATGTCTGGTAGTTCCGAGCAAAATGGTGTGGCTAGAAGTCGTAATAGCACCCTTAAAGACATGATGAGGAGCATGATGAATAAGTGTAACGTACTTGATTATCTTTGGGAAGAAACCATTAAAACAACTTCATACATTCTTAATACAGTTCCTAGCAAATTTGTTCCAAAAACACCTTTTGAACTATGGACCAATAGGAAACCCAAC